GTTAACCGCAAAGTCTGGGTGGTTAATGGGCGCCACACGACCTCAAAAGGAGGTCGGGTGATTCGGCAGTTTATTCGTTTTATTGCTATTTGCACAAAATCACCCCACACCCGTCTAAATAACCGAACAGGCTGGTTCGCATAGTTTTGTTACACAGCTCCCCCTTAGTCCCATGGAACGGCACACCTGCTTAGATCCTAACGGGTCGGCTAAGGGATGTCCGGATGAGAGAGTTAATTTTCTAGTTCGGTCTGCCGTGACAGGCCATCTGCATTGGCATTCTGCTTTCCGGGGCGATACTGCATCGTAAAATTATAGGGTTGCAGTGCCAAGCTCCATCTGAGTAGTCTGGGGTTATCGCCAGCTACTCTGTTAAGCCAAATCAAAGGGTTGTGGTCAGTCAGCACTGTGAAAGAGCGTCCATACAGGTAGGGTATTCACAAAACAGCATAAAAATCTATAACTTAAGGCCCAAACTAATGCCAGACACTCTTTTTCCACGGTGGCATAGCTGACTTCGCGTGGTAACAGTTTTCTGCTCAGATACGCCACCGGGTGTTCCATGCCATCGTCTCCCACCTGGCTTAGTACTGCTCCCAGTCCAAACATGGAGGCATCTGTGTGGACGAGAAACCTTTTAGTATGATCAGGTGCCGCCAACACAGGAGATGCACTTAATGCAGCTTTGAGTTTCTGGAAAGCCTCCTCACACTCAGGGGACCAGGCTACTTGTCGGGGTAGGGACTTTTTGGTGAGGTCTGTCAGAGGTTTAGCTAGGGCACTGTACTCTGCTACGAATTTCCTATAGTAGCTAGCTGTGCCTAAAAAAAGCCATGACTGCGTGATGGCCTCAATTTTGGCTGGTTCTGGCCTCTGTTTCCCTGACCCTACTCTGTGTCCTAAATACTGTACTTCAGCCATGCCTACGTGGCATTTCTCAGGCTTCAAAGTGAGCCCTGCATTCTGGATTTGAGTAAGCACTACTGAGATGTCTTCCAGGTGGGCTTCCCAAGTGCCACTGAAGATAGCTATATCGTACAGGTAAGCACAATCAAAGCCCTGAAATCCCTCTAGGCGCCGGTCAGCCATCCTTTGGAACGTAGCGGGGGCATTCTTCATCCCAAATGACATAACCTTAAACTGGTATAGGCCAAATGGGATGACAAATGCCGATTTTTGGATGGCCTCAGCCTCCAAGGGGATTTGCCAATATCCCTTACACAAATCAATAGCGGTCAAATAATTCCCCCCAGCCATGCGGTCAAGCAGCTCGTCCACTCGGGGCATGGGGTATGCGTCTGTGACTGTCCTATCATTTAGCTTGCGGTAGTTCACGCAGAACCGGATGGTACCGTCTTTTTTAGGAACTAAAACCACTGGAGAAGCCCACGGGCTTTGAGACGGCTCTATTACTTCCAGTTCTAACATGTCCTGGATTTCTTTTAACATGCTTTACCGTACTGCTACGGGGATTCGGTAAGGCTGCTGCCGCAGAGGTAACTGGACTGGGGTCTCCACTCTGTGGACTGCCAGGGTCGTGTACCCTGGGGCTGCTGAAAACATGCCCCCGATCCCCTCCAACAATTGGGAAGCCTGAGCTTGCTCCTCTGGACTTAATTCAGGGCCCAACTGTACCTGTTCTACCCCTGTCGGTCCCTGAGGGAGCACATCCGTAACGGAATACTCTCGCTATCCTCATATGCTGGAGCGCATACCGCAGAGACCTCCTCTGTTCTCTCATGATATGGCTTGAGCATATTTACATGGAAGGATCAACAGATCCTTCCATCCGAACAGTCTGCCACAATATACGTGCTATCACTGATCCGCTCTATCACAGTGTAGGGGCCCTGCCAGGATGCTTGCAACTTATCGGTCTTAATGGGCTTGAGTACTAGGACCTTTTGTCCTACTTCCAATATACGGTCTCTAGCTCCCTTATCGTACCAGTACTTCTGCCGTTGTTGGGCTGTCCGCAGGTTCTCCCGAACCGTTTCGGTCAGAGCATGCAGACGGTCCCTCAACTCTAGTACAAACGTGACTATAGGGGTACCTGTGTGTTCCATGCCGCCTTCATAATGTTCACGTACTAGGTCCAGGGGTCCCTGGACTCGTCTCCCGTATAGTATTTCAAACGGGGAGAATCCGGTGGACTCCTAGGGAACTTCCCTATAGGCAAAGAGTAAATGGGGAAGGAACTTTTCCCAATTTCGACAGGTCTCTGTGAACGTGATGAGCATTTGTTTAAGGGTGCCGTTAAAACGCTCACAGAGGCCATTGGTCTGGGGATGATATGGGGAACTTAATATGGGTTTTACTCCACAGCTCTGCCAGAGCTGTTGGGTAACCACCGCGGTGAATTGGGTTCCTTGATCGGACACTATCTCCCTAGGAAACCCCACCCTAGTGAACACGTGCATCAGTGCTTCCACTACCGTCTCGGCATGTATATTTGACAGAGCTATTGCCTCGGGGTAGCGGGTAGCATAGTCCACCACAGTAAGAATGTATTTCTTACCGGATGGACTGGGTTTGCTGAGTGGCCCGACTAAATCAACTGCCACTCGGAAAAATGGTTCCTCAATGATGGGTAGGGGACGTAGTTTTGCCCTCCTTTCCATCGGAGTGACCTATGTAAAAGGGGAGTGCTTATGTTATAGCCAATGCGATTGGCTACTGTAATTCTTTTGTCCCAGTCTTCCATCTGGTCCCCTAGGGGAGTGTCCACCAGGTGGGAGACCTGCATAAATTCCTACCTTTTGGCATACCTTGCAGGTCCTACAATAATCCTGCAAATCTCTAGTGACCCCCGGCCAGAAAAATGACTGGGTGAGTCGGTCTCTAGTCTTTTTAATGCCTAAGTGACCTGCTAGGGGAATATCATGGCTAATCCGTAATAGTTCAACCCGATACTTACGGGGCACTATTAATTGTCTTTTTTCTACCTGACCTGCTCCCTTCCCTGTCCCCCCGGTCACCCGGTATAGTAAACCCTTTTCCCAGATAAACCTTGCCT